GGGCATTCATGGCCCAGTCAAGTTGACACATAAAATTGACTATCACAACCAAAAATACACAGATGGGAACCAACTAAACTCATGAAAATTTATATCACAGAGAAATCCCCAATGACAAAAATGATTGCCCAACCCCTAAATCAGTCCTCAGAGCCCCATCCTTCCACCACACACACTCCAATGTTCCACCAACCAGCAGTGGTTGCTAAAGCTGTGCGGTCCTCTAAAGAGGTTCTCTTGCAGAAATGATGGACAAGGGAAATCTTGGAGAATGAAATTAAGGCAACCCTGACCTTCACTTCACTGCGAGATATAGGGAGTCTTTGCCATTTCTGTCCCAGAAGATTATAATATGTATGAGGACTGATGGCCACTGGATGTTTTACATTCTCTGCTTTGCGATTTGGAATTTTTATTGGAGCTCTGCTTTTTCTCTCCTATTATATATAGGGTGGGGTTAGGCTTATTATTTACCCACAGATCACTGAACCGTGAAGAGGTATTTAACATGATTTGCACATCGACAAATATTGGACTTGGATCTAGCTTTAGTAACTGGATGAGATTTTATATTATATCCCTTTGGGAAGGGAATGTGGCCTGTAGGTGTGGAAGCTGTGGGATGATGTTAGGTGGCCAGAGGCTGAACTATCCAAAATTGCTTAGTCCTTCTACCTGATACCCCACATTTCCTTCAAGAGCTACTTGTCCTCACTCTCAGCTATGGTTTGGCTGGGATTGATACTCCTCCCCATTCCACCCTCTCAGCCAAAGTAGCTGGCTCAGGAATGGGCATGTCAGTCTCCTGAGCCTCCAGATTTGTACTAGGAATGCTAGAACTCTTCCTCATTGGGCTTCTTTGGGGATGTGAGCTTTAGAACTGCTGGCCCCATGGTCCACGAGAGGAGCCAGCTTGAGAATCAAGCTAGAAGCAGAGCTGAAGGATGATCTTACTAACATTTACCTGTCATTTCTCCAGTCCTTCTGGAGTGTTTTCCTCTCATTTGCAACTGCCACAGTAACAAAAGCTTTCCAAGTGATAGAATGTGAGGAAGTTCAAATGAGTACCTCCGGTTAGTGGTCTTGACATCTTTTCCAAACAGCTTTCCCCTGTAGTCACCGCCAGTGTGTGTGATTGAAGTCTGCAAACCACAGAATCTGGGGATCTGACCCCCAGAAGGATTAGAGAGATCAACTAGTCCAGGGCCTCCCAAGGTGCCTTATGGGGTAAGCAAGGTGGTTTTTAGGTGATTCATGAATATTTTTATTTTCATAAATATAATGTGAATCCTAGTAAAATATAACTAGCATTTTCACATCAAACTTGTAATTTCACAGGTTCTATGTAATGCTTCTACTGAAAGGGAAATTGAAGCTTTGAGAGATTAATGGCTTTTTTAGGGATTGCCCAGATGGTGAATGAAGGGTGAGAGATATTAAGTGTGGAATCTTATAATTGGGAGGGATCCTGGAGATCACGGAGTCACTTCCCCACCCTCGCCCACCTCCAATGTCTGAATTCCCTCCAGAGTATCTCTCACATGTGGTCATTCAGCCTCTATTTGAATACCCCCATGGATGGGAAGCTTATTACCATTAGAGGCAGCACATTCCATTTTGGCAGTTCTGAGAGTTAGAAAATTCTCCCTTATACTGAGCCAAAATCAGCCCCTTGAAATTTCTTTCCATTTGGTTCCAGTTCTTTCCTCTGAATCCATTCCTCACGTTCAAATGGTCAAGTCAGTTACTCTGCCCCCACTCTTCCTCTCCCTCAGTACACATACACACACACACATGCACATGTACATTACACACACTCTTCATGGAATGTGATTTTGAATCACTCTATTAATTTTCTCATCATTCTTTTTTGATTTAACACTCAAATATCTTTGTTGTTATTAAACCAGTGTGTCTAGAACATGACTTACTATATAGATGCAGTGAAGACTACATCAGAGTTCTCCCACCCTTTGTCCTGGACCTTATGTTTCTGTTAAGGCAGCCTGAGATTACTACATCCTATCGTTGACCGTTGAGTGACTGCATCCATCTTTTTTTTTTTTTTAACCATCATTCTGTAGTCAACAGGCTGATTAACTGAACCTCAGTTCACAGTCTATAATTTATTCTTATACCTTTTCATTCGAGTCTGTTGAATTTTTTTTTTCTGATCTTCATTCTATCAGCAATTTTTTTAAATGAAATACTAGAACATGAGGGCTTCCCTTGAAACTTACCAAAAGTAGTTTCAGGATACAGAAAAATGTAGCAAATAAATAAAATTATAAACTTATAGAACCTAATATCCAAGAGATTGATGTAGACTGAAAACTTTAATGAGTTTAACATAGATTAATGAACAATAAAGAGATATTTATATTATTCAACTTTTGTCATATAGTGGCCCAGCCTTGTCTACCGCATGTCCCTACTGGTCAATATCAGAAGCAGGACATTGAGTTTCACTAGTCAAAGATCTCAACATGGAATTTCTTACTAGTTTCTCCCTGCTGCAGAAATAAGCCTATTTTTGGCCCTAGGAGCCAGTCTACTACACTGATTAAAGGAACTAGTTTGAGAGTTCAATAGAACTCATTTCAAACCCTGACTCTGTGATTTACTAGTTGTATATCCTCTCACAAGCTATATAGCCTCTTTGAGCCTCAATTAACCAGGAAACAATATGATACCCAGCTCAGTCTTATCAGAGTTATACAAATAATACATATATAGGCATCTAACACAGGATAAACACTCAGCACTGTGGCTATGGTTGTTTCTAAATCTACTGATACACACAAAACAATTAGAAGAAATTAAAAATTATTTTCTCCATGAAGAATAGAGCTGGCCATCATGACCGTTTGTGCTTTGGTTTGGTCAGTTTCTGTCCTGAGATACTTCAATCAGCATACTCTGTTAATTCGATAAAGAAAATTCCTAAGCTTAGTAGGGCCTCCTGTGTTGGGAGCTTTGAGAGGTTCAGGGAGCAGCTTTGATAAAGGAGCCAGCAGAAACCAGCTGGAACTGTTTGCTTCACAGTGGGCTAAACTTAGTGCTATCTAGAAGGCACAGAGGTCTCCTCCATCAGGAGGCCACTCTGAGGGTCCCCTCCAGAGGCATCAAAGTCCTTCTAGAGTTGCCATCCTAAGGGACTTTGAGGGACTAAAGGACTTAGGAGTGCAGAGACAGAATAAGAGCCGTAGATGGGTTGTGTCTACCCAATGTGTTTTTTTTCCTCAACCTGAAATTTGCCATCCTACCCAAATGCAGTTTTGAATGTAAAGAAGTTGCTAGATGCATGTGTCTGGGCAGGCACAAGCTTCTAAGGATTGTGCTTTCAAACACTGACGGGGCTTACCAGAGTTGGGTAAGGGTGGCCTCATCTGATCTGAGGATTATTGTCAGGCTGGAGGGTTTTAAAAATTTAAATCCCAGTTTTTTAACACTCAGGAAAACACCTGGCTCCCCATCCTGTGAAATAGATGGCTTTAGTTGGCTTCCTTTTTTTGTTTGTTTGTTTTGTTTTTTTGGGTTTTTTTTTAAAGAGTTTTTAGATGTAGCGAGTTATTTTCCTTCATCAACAAAAGAGCAGTCAGTGCCTTGCTTTCCATCTATTGGCCCCACTGTTAAGACGTGCAAAGGCTCCCAGATTTATACCTTCTGGTGACCCTAGGATTTATGCCAACTCCCCTACTGGCTGCCATTCCTGTAGCATTCAGTGACGCCTTCTTGAGACGAGGGTACTAACAGTTTTTTACTTGGAGGCTTTACAGTATTTAATTAGTCATTTTTCTCTCGATATTCAAAGCTGGTGTTATGTGTTTGTGTGTGTGTTTGTGTGTGTGTGTGTGTGTGTGCGTGCGCGTTCGCGTGCGTGTGTGCATGTGCGTTTTGCCCTTTGCCATGTTGGTTGTTGTGTTCCTTTTCCACTTGCACAAGGTCATATTCAGAGCTCTTCCTCCCTGAAGGGGAGGTTGCATATTCGTCACTTAATCTTCCTCTCATTTCCTTCTGTTAGGGTCACATAGCCCTTCCTGAGGTATTACCGTTTTTCCATTTCTTCTTTGCTCCCTCCTTTCTTTTAATAACTCTGGGAGACAGGGAGGCACCTTGTAAAGTTAATTTCCTCTGAAGCTTTCAAAGCAAAGGCATCTCTCAGCCCAGACACCACCACCCCTCTCCACCCCTCTCCACCCCTCAGCGACGACACACTCCCCTCCTCAAAGCCTTAGTCACCCTGGGTTGTGCCCGCCGCCCAGGACTGTCCGTGCCCCGTCTCTGGAGCACAGTGAATCGCTCTGTGTAGTGACTCCTTGGTCTGGGTGTGGGGACCCTAGTTGGGAAGAATCTCCCCATTTATTTGCTCTGTTCCCTCCCCTTTTTTACCTCTTCACTGTGCTTTTCCTTCCCCTTCACTGCTTTCTGCTTTTCTCTGGTACTTTCAGGACTCAGGGGCTGGCTGCCTGCCTGTCCCAGGGATGGCATTTCCTCTTCAAAGGTCTGTGGCCTCAGCCACCCAGCTCTACCAAGCACACAAGCCTTTGGAATTGCTGTGGCTTTGCTGCCTGCCTACTTGGAAGGCAAGGGCAGTTTTTTAAACACCCCTTTGGTTTCTCGGGGTGAAGCTTTCCTCAATCCTATTTTATTTATGTGAACATGATCTGTGGCTTTTTAATGTTTGCTTTTGAATGTTTGTGTTAATGGACTCAACTGAAAGCGTTTCCTCTTACCGGACAGAGGGCCGGCACACAGCTGGGGGCCAGGCCGCTCAATTCAGGCGAAACCATCCCAAGAGGAACAAGTTACCAGCCAAGGAAGTCTGGAGGCTCCAAAAGGAATTCACTGAGGCCTTCATGGGCAACAGCGGTCAAAGCTGGAATCATAGACTAGGCCAACAAGGTTCAAGCAATTCCTTGGATTAACAAGGGCTGGACTTAGAAACCCATATAGTTTTGCAAATGCGTTTTTTTTTTTTTTTAATTGTGCTTGTATTTACCAGAACTCCGTAGCTCTGTGTGGTTTTCAAGATGATCTTTTGCCCATATTTCCAGCCTTCTGAGCCTCTTCCTGGTAATATTAAGAACTCCAGATTGATCCCGGAATCATCTGTCTATAGGTGACCTGTCATCTGAACGTGTAGCAGAATCCCAGCTCAGCCTACTAGTATGCTTCCTGTGTATTTCTTTTCTTCTCTTGCTGGCACCTCAGACAGAAACAGAAACATAGAAGCAAGGATCCAGTGGAATGCAGTTTTTCCATATCCAGTGACTGGATAACCTAGCACTGGAATGAGGAAGGGAGGCAGGAGAGGGGTAACTGGGACCACACGGTGTGGAGGGAATTCAATCCTCAAATCTGCCATGAGGACAAAAGAACAGAGTAGAAGGATGGGGCTCAGTCAGGGCTGGGTTGTCCTCAAGGGTGGACCCCACCATCCCACCATTGGCCCTGGAAATCTGTAAGCCCTTGAACCAAAGGTGAGCTGCTTACCTGGACAATCTGTGTGAGCATATGACATGATGAGGAACACTTCTCTCTCCACACAAGATGGAGCTGAACACAACTGTTTGGGAGTCTTTCTATAAGCTTAGCCAAATGGCAGATCTACCAGGAGTATTGCCCAAGTTATTAATCTTCTCATATGAAGGAGACGGCTGTTGTTACACATTAGAATAAACTGAAACAGAGAAGAATGGATGTGATCCTCCACAGGATACAGAAGTTACAGTTCTTGAAGCAGAATACTCCGGGGTTTCTTTCTTTAAACTATGAGTTCTGTATTGGTGACCCTCTCTGTTTAATTTATACCCTCTCCTTGGGCAGCATCTTCTAACTCCTTGGCTTAATACCCGCCAATAACTCCACATTCTGAATCTGTCTACTGACCTGCAAACCAGACAGCCATGAGAATCACACATGTACTCAGTGTGACCCACAGCTAATTTGTCCTCTTCTCTACCTGACTCCAGCCACCTCCTCTTGGGTTACCCATTGTCATCATCAGTCATCCAGTTGCTCATACCCAAAACACAAGAGTTATCTTTGTCTCCTTTCCTTTCTTAGAACACTTCAATCACCTAATCCTTTTCATTCTACCTTCTAAATATCTCTTTATTCTGTCCATATCTCTTTATCTCTTTGGCCACCAAACTAGTCCAGACTATAGCTTTTTCTTATCTAGCTACTTCTTTGGTACCGTCTGTTCTCTTGACTTCTGTTCTTAACCCTTGCAGCCCACTCTCTCTATACGCCATTTAGAACAGTGTATCTAAAACATAATCTGATGTTTCTTACCTGCCCAAAACCTTTGAGTAACTTTCTATTATTACTTTTCAGATAAAGGCCAAAGTCCACATTCCAACTTTGCTTACTCTTTCCAGCTTCATCTGTTACCAGGACAGAGACTGTGTCTTTGCATTTCATTGCTGTTCCCTCAGCACCTAGAACAATGTCTGACAGAAGGTTCCACTCTATAAATAGTGGTTGCATGGATGAATAAAAGAGTAAACAGAATTTCTATGCATTTAAGGATAACCCAAGGAGAATGATAGAAGATCAATATTAAAACCTCTCAGGATAATTGTTCTTATTCTAAGACTTAAATATTTTAATCCAGGGCTAGTAAAAGGGAAGGTTCTTGAACAAGCACTGCACAAAGTACGAGGAATAGGATGATCTCCATTATTCTGCTCCAAGGGGTCCCCTTCTGGATGCGAGGAGCATACTGTCTGTCAGATTATCTGTAGTGACTCTGGGGACTGGGCAGGTTTACAAGGTGAAGAGAAGAAATGGCAATTGTAAAGTTTAGTGTAGGGGATAGTTTTGTTTGGTTGGTTTTCAGCTGACTAGCATCCATTTCACTTCCTAACAGTATTCCAGTTTCCTTTTGAAGAAGGATCTCTTTCCTGTTAGATTCAGTCTGTTGGGACAGTAATTAAGAGGCTGCCCTCCCTTGAGGCCCAAGTTAAGCCAATAAGATCCTTTCTCCCTAGAATTAGTCTCTTGAGCACAGAAATCAAGGAATTTGAAACATTGGCTGTATGGAGGTGACCTCCCAACTATACCGTGTCAGCTATGAGACCACCATGGTATTCCTGGGGTCCAGTCATCCATTAATGAGCTCAGTCATGGGCTCCCAATAGTTGTCTAATTAAAGTTTCTTTTTCCATAACTTGAACAGAGTTGTTCCTGTTACATATAACAGTGTGATAATGGTGGTACAAGGGAACATTATCAGAACACAGTTCTGACATTTTTTTTTAATGCTTTGGACCAAAGCCGTTATATGAATCCCAGAATAAACATCAGGCACAATTGGACCTTGGGAATTTAATTATGACTGACTTTCCTAACATGGAAACATGTAACATTCATATATGGATCTTTGCAGGGATCAGTAGCTCAAAATATCACTGTTTTGATTGGTCATCTCTATCTAAAAGAAATAAACCAAAACCACACCTTCAACTTTGTCTTTAATTATAGCCATAGTAAAAGGAAAGACTAAAAATGATAATCAGCCTTACTACTGACCAGACAAACACAAATTAAAATAGGTATCAAGTTCTTGTTAATCAGTTCTGCCACAATTTTTTTTTAAAAACTGGCAATATCCATTGATGAGAATGTGAACAAAGGGCACTCTTTCATAGTTGGTAGAAGCACAGATTGGTCAATGTTTCTGGAAGATAATTTGGCAGTGCTTTATCAAAATTTAACACATGAATACCCTTGACCCAGCAGTTCTCCTCTTAGAAAAAAAAAAGCAAAAGGATACAAGTATAAGAATGTTGACTGTGACATTAATTTGTACTATCAAAATATTAGAAATAACCTAAATGTTCCTTAATTGGCTGACTATATTATGGTGTATTTTTACTAGCATTTCATGATTCATTGAGAAGCCATTATATAAAGAATGTGGTAGGTAGGTATGTAACAGAAGTAGAAACCAAATATTTTAGTCATTGCAAAAGCAAGTTACAGAATAATGTGAATTTAAAAATGCTTTTAAGGGGCGCCTGGGTGGCTCAGTCAGTTAAGCAACTGACTTCGGCTCAGGTCATGATCTCGCAGTTTGTGGGTTCGAGCCCCGCATCGGGCTCAGTGCTGACAGCTAGCTCGGAGCCTGGAGCCTGCTTTGGATTCTGTGTCTCCCTCTCTCTGTCCCTCCTCTGCTCGTGCTCTATCTGTCTCTGTCTCTCAAAAAATGAATAAACATTAAATTTAAAAAAAAAAATGCTTTTAAAAAACATAAAGCTATAATAAGTGTATATGTATATATATGTAAATATGTTTGAATGTGCATAGAAAAGATTCAAAAGTATCCATACTGAACAGTTATTGGAAATTACGCTTGATGAGTTGGGGGAGAGAAGCAATGAAATAGGAGGGAAAGAAGGGGATGTTTGATTTTATATTTTACATCTTTGGTGTTACTTGAATTTTCATTGCCTTTGCATTACTTTTAAAAACGTTGAATAACTGGCAATTTAAGAGAACAAATAATTAGAAACCAGGCAAAGTAAGCTTCCCAGAGCTTGTCAAAAGAGACAAGCTTTTGACCCACTTGTCTAGACAAGAGTGTGGTCGATCCTACTAGGTAGAAGCTGAGGGACCAACCATACCCAGGATACAGCCAAGTCTCTGTAAAAGAACCACCCAGGCAGGCCAGAGGCGCTCATTCCGGGCTGGGTGGAAATCAACCCCTACAAGAATTGGAATTGCACATTTGATTGTTTTTATTGGCGCTACCCTTCTTACCTTGAATACCTCCTTCTTTTGTTCATGAACCTTTAATTTGTCATCTTGTTTATGGCTGAAGCAAGATTCCTGTCTATCTAATGAACTTAATGATTCTGACGTGAGTGTCTAACAAACAGTAATTAGAACCTCTTTGCCTCGTTGAGATGTCATAATACCACCAGGTGCCTGTTTTTCATGCTGCCTTGTTTGGGCAGAAAGTTTACTTATTTGTATTGTACTTTATTCCAAAATACATTGTATGTCAAATACAGTATTTTCTTAATCCGAAAATGGGGAATGAAAGAAACATAAGGATATAGAATCAAGATTAAGCCAGTAGTGAGGTTGCCACACAAGCTACATGGTACCTAATGATTTATGTACTTAATATGTATGGGTGGGGTGCACATTTGGTTGTGAGTTTCCTAGTGGCCAAGGCAAAGTGATCCTAATGGCCAGTGCACATGATCAGGTACAGAATTAAAGTAATAGTCTTGGTTTTCCTAAGCAATGAAAAAAGACAAATTTCTAAGTGAATATAGATATATACATATACATACATATACTTACGGGGGCGTTGGCTGAGAAGAAAAGTAGAGTCTATAGTCTCATGGACTTGAGAGCCGATTCCTGACTAATGTCCATCAACTTAAGTCCTCTTCGAAGGTGGCAGTAGTTTCCTTTTTTCAAATGGAACCTTGAATCGCTTTCACCCCTTGAATTGTTGTGCCTCCTTTCCAGAGGGATGCTTTCCCTTCTCTCAAAACCATAAGCCTGGGGAAGAATGCTACTTTGTTCAAGTTATTCTTGATTATTTTGGAACTTCCTAAAGCTCCTGTCATGTGGTTCCAAGTTTAACCATAGTCACTTTGGACATGGTTTTGTTTCCACAGTGATGTGTGTCAGCAACCACAGAGTGAGCTTCTTGTATTTTTATATCAATATGATACCCTTTGTTTATTTGTTCCTCAGAGGTTTCACTTTCGCTTATGTAATGGGCTATGGCATTTTTCAGTCATTACCTCATGCTGGGATCTCCTTTTTCTTTGTACCTCCTGATGCGTCATATTCTTGACTCTACTCCCTTGGATCTCTTAGATACAATGCTCTGAGCTGGTGGGTGGGAGTGGGTGGGAGCCAGATTATGTGATGACTTCCCCACCCTTCCTCTCACAAGAGCTGCCTGGGTTTGTCACTGGCCTTTTCTGTACTCAGTCTTTTGGCATCTTTCAGAAAGCATACTGGCTTAAAACTACAGCCTCTACCAAAGACTCCAGGTTCCACTTCTGGGTTGGGCACTGGGCAGGCAGATTCTCCTGAACTCTAGAGCTACATTGACTATTCCCACGGAGTCTGTAGCTGCAAGTGGTCAGTCTCCAGTGCGTACCCCTGTCCAGATCTACACTATTGGAAGATCTTGAGGGAAACATGCGTCTCAAAATTCAACCAATCCTTTGCTTAGGGCTCATTTTCCTGAGCTCTTCCATATTCATATATACAGCTGTCTACTTAGATGTGCAATAGGTATCTCAAGCTTAACATGCTCAAAACAGAACTCTTGCTTCATGTTCCCACCTTACCCCCCACCCAAGTATTACTCTTTTATTCTTCTCCATCTTGGAAAATGGCACCACTCTTCTGTTCTTCCTTTTCTTTCCTTCACCTTTAACATCACTTCAAATACACTGTTTCTACTTCCAAAAAACAGCTAAATCCAGCCACTTCTCTCCATACACACAGCCATCATCCTGGTCCAAGCTTCTGTCATCTTATGCCTGGACAAGTGAAATCACTAAGTAGGCTCCTTGCTTCCATTCTTAAACCCATTACAGTCCATTCCCACACCACATAGTAGCCAAGGTGACAGAGCACACAGCTCCTATGCTTAAAACCTTCCAATGACCTCCTGCTCCTCTCAGGAAAAAAAAAAAAATCCCATTGCTCCTCCCCTCCTCTCAGATCACATCTCCTACCATTCTCCATGTCATTCACTGAGCCCCAGACACACTGGCTTCTTTCTCTTCCATGAAAATGCAACATTATTTCTCATGCAGGGCCTTTGCACTTGCTATATACTTTGTTCTTTCACTTGACTCCTTCTCATTGAGGTCTCACTTCTTTGATGAAATTCTATTCCAAATATATTTATTAAACAGATATATTTACTTCTGTCATCTCACTTCTGATAATCAAAAAGTATTTTAAGTATTAATTTGTCCATTTGCTTATTATTTGTCTTCATCATCCAGAATGCAAGGTCAGTAAAGACAAGAATTTTGTCTATTTTGTTCACACCTGTATCTTTGGTGAATTTTTCAAGTAAAAACTGACATGTATCAGTTCAGCTTAACAAACATGTATTGGGCATGTACTAGGTACCAGGCACTCGCCAAATGCTTTAGATTCAATGATTAAACAAGCCTACTTATTTTTCTTAATTCTGGAAATATTTTAGCCATTTTCTCTAAATACTGCCCTTCTCAGATTCTATTTTTTTGATTCCTGACCTCTTTAACATCTCATTTTCCATTTCTTTGCCTTTTCTTTTTTTGCTGTAGCCTGAGTAATGTCTTTAGATTTATCTTCCAGTTCTCTAATTCTCTCTCTATCTTTATCTATTCTACCTGTATTCATTTACTGTTTCTAATTTTAATAATTACAGGGTTTTGTTTTTTAATTTCCAGAAGTAATATCTAGTTTTTTTTTTTTTTCACAGTTCTGCCTGGTCTTTTTGTTTTTATTTTGTTTTTAATTTTTTTAATATTTTATTTATTTCTGAGAGAGAGAGAAAGAGACAGCGTGAGCAGGGGAGGGTCAGAGAGAGAGGGAGACATAGAATCTGAAACAGGCTTCAAGCTTTGAGCTAGCTGTCAGCACAGAGCCCAATGCAGGGCTCGAACCCATGAACCGTGAGATCGTGACCTGAGCAGAAGTCGGACGCTTAACCGACTGAGCCACCCAGGTGCCTCTGTTTTTATTTTTTTAAACGTTTGTTTATTTATTTTGAGAGAATGAGAGCACAAGCACGGAGGGCCAGAGAGATGGGGAGAGAGAGAGAGTCCCAAGCAGGCTCTATGCAGAACCCAGCATGGGACTCAATCCCATGAACTGTGAGATCATGACCTGAGCCAAAATCAAAAATCAGACACTGACCCATCTGAGTCACCCAGGTGCTCCTGGTCTTTTTTTTTTTTTTTTTAATGTTTTTATTTATTTCTAGGAGGGAGAGAGAGACAGCATGAGCAGGGGAGGGTCAGAGAGAGACGGAGTCACAGACTGAAACAGGCTCCGGGCTCTGAATTGTCAGCATGCAGCCTGACGCCGGACTCAAACTCACAAACCATGAGATTATAACCTGAGTCCAAGTCGGACGTTTAACCAACTGAGCCACCTAGGTGCCCCACCCCTNGGGGAGGGTCAGAGAGAGACGGAGTCACAGACTGAAACAGGCTCCAGGCTCTGAGCTGGCAGTCAGCACAGAGCCCGACGCGGGGCTCGAACCCATGAACTGCGAGATTATGACCCAAGCGAAAGAAAGTCGGACGCTTAACCGACTAAGCCACCCAGGTGCCCCTCTCCTGGTCTTTAAAAAAAAATTTTTTTAACGTTAATTTTATTTCTGAGTTGAGTGGGGGAAGAGAGAGAATGAGAGGGGCAGAGAGAGAGAGGGAAAATGAGCAGGGGAGGGGCAGAGAGAGAGGAAGTTACAGAATCTGAAGCAGGCTCCGGGCTCTGAATTGTCAGCATGGAGCCTGACGCCGGACTCAAACTCACAAACCATGAGATTATAACCTGAGTCCAAGTCGGACGATTAACCAACTGAGCCACCTAGGTGCCCCACCCCTGGTCTTTTTAGGTTGTGTTTATTCTTTTTTGGTTTCCCCTTTCTATTGCTTTAAACATTTTCATCAGTTTATGTTTGGTATATGATAACTGTTATATAATGCCTAATTCTGTTCATTGTGGTTTCTACTGGCTTTCACTCATGGTAGCCTGCATGCTTCCTAGTTTGGTTTCTCATTTTAATTGTGATCTCATGTTCAGGAGGACTTTATCTGTTAGACTCCTGTGAAACCTTTGGAACTCTCCCTCCACAGAAGATCTGCTTCTGCCAGGTACCCTGGTATGCTACCAACCTGGGGCTAATTTAAACTAATTTTACAGCTGAAGTCTTCCAGACCATGGAGATAGTCTAAATTCAAATCCTCCACTGTGTGAAGGAAAGATTGTGGTTTAAAATCTTATAAGTCCAGGCCAAGACAGATGAAGTTTCTCATTTTTCATTGTAGATAGGCAGGCTTTCTCCTTACCTATCCTTTTATTTTATATGTATCCTTTTGTGAGTCTCACTTTTACGCAGAATTCTCGATTCCAAAACTCCCTCTTTTGAGAACACTAAGCTTGGTCTCCTGTCTCCCATAAAGTCCCCAAAGCCAAGCCCCAAAGTCACTGGGATAGACAGACTCTCCAAAGCAGCAAAGCTTCAGTGACAGTTGACCACTTTGAATCCCAGTCATGTGTGTGTGTGTGTGCGTGTGTGTGTGTGTGTGTGTGTGTGTGTGTGTGTGTATGTATGGTGAGGACTTCCCTAGTTTGCATGAGAATTTGTGCATCTAAAAGTATATTTGTTATATTTTATCTATGATATCCAGATGTTTTGTCTCATAGCTAGAAACACAGTATTCTGCCTTCAATGAACTGTGATATAGTTCTGGGAGACAGAAACAGCCATTCATCCAACCATCAACATTTTTATTGGTTTTCCTGTGTCAGACATTAATAAACAGGAACACATAAAAATATGCTGAGAGGCATGCCCACACTGATATGAGGATATAGAGGTAAGAGAGACCAATTCTAATGGGGGGTGTGGAAAGTCTTTGCAGATAAAAAGGTGTTGGAGCTGGATGATAATAATACCTACCTTTTATCTCGGGCTTTCTCTGGACCAGGCACTGTGGCAAGTACTTAACATGTATGGTCACATTATCCTTACAAGAAAGAGTAAAATAGGTACTATTCTTAGCATCTTGATTTTACAACTGAAGCATAAAGAATTTGAGTAATGTTCCCAGTCATTGGCAGGGCC